CAGGTGTGCGTTCTGGTTTCTCGGTCATGGTCAGTCCATGCATGCTGTTTCCATCGAGGCTTCATTCTGCTACAGTCCATTCCATTCAGGTGTCGACTCATGGAGCGTAGGCTGCGCCCAGATGTTTGCTACAGTTTCCTGCTAATAGCGTCCGGATGCACTTCCTATTCGTAGCGCAAGGGTCCTCATCGAAAGTGACTGGGGTCCATGATGAGGTCGAACTTTGCAGCTCCTATCGCCTTTGCCGATGCTATTGAGCCAATAGCTCAGTGCCCGATCAGTAGCAAAGACTGGGGCAAACGTAGCGCTGATCTTGCCTACCGCGCTCCTTGCAAGGTTCTTCTTAAAATTGTCGCAAGGCATAATCGTTGGGTTTGGTTGTTGATCTATTTTGATTCCTACTTAATTATCCCGTTGCGCATTTGAGCTTCTGAAACATCCTGGCTGAAGGTCCTGATGTGTTCTTCAACATATTAACTTATTTCATCATGAAGCTAATTTGACATGAAGAAAATTGAATTTGAACCAAAATCGGCCAGAAATTATGGGTCAACCCAATAGAAAAATGTGAACCAATGGATCGAGAAGACCAGACGCCTCCGCCGCACCATCGACCCGATGAAAAACACATTTGGTTCTGTGTCAAAATTGATGGCGATCGCTCCAAAACATCGCAATTTTTAAAAATTATGATTTATGTTTTGAAAAATCAATTACTTCCGGATTGTGAAAAAAAATAGAAGTTTGGACTTTTTGTGAACCACGTCATTTCGCCACATCGTATAATATTTGCCTCGATCATTTCTTTATCTTCCTCTACTCAAAGTGGAGTTGTAGATGCCGAGTTGAACGATAATGAAAAAAAGAAGGGAAAGAGAATCGTCGGCGAACCCTTGAACAGGGATCCCACCTTGAAATAGGGAAGGGGCGGGGTCAAACGAGTTCAGGGAACTTATAATACCTAATACATCACATCCGCTTTGCTGAACACCGGCCATAGAGCAAGCAAAGCGAACGCTGGCTGATTTTGTGTTGAGTTTAAGCAAAAAAAGTAACTGTTGTTGTTTTTCGGGGCAGCATTTTATGGTCAGGTAATCAGGCAGCAAGTGATCAAAGGATAGAATAACTGGTACCATGTGAAAGTTACCGAGCCTGAAAAATGAGGGCTAACGATAGGAGCCGTCGTTTGAAGGCGGAGGGAAATTCGAAAGCAGAACGCAGTCCTTAGGGTCTTGCTATATCGCCTGGAGAGCTCATTCAGGTGCAAAAAAAGCCTCCGCATACTCTGCTTAGATACCTAGCTCATTTCGAAGCATACTTACCTTGCACGCTTAGTCAAATTATTGCCCCCTCTGCCTTACCCTAACCGGCGCAAGAGTGGAACCTTGTTGGTTCTTGCAAGGACGCTGTTACTCTTCATTGAAATCATACCTTGAGTAGTATTCTTTTGTACGGAAATCTGGAGCTCCGGAAGTGAGCCGAGGACGAGTCCAGAAATAGATATCAGCACGAACAGCACGGATAACGTGGCAAAAACCTGGGCGTAACCGGAACTGAAAACCAGTCACATTGGTCCTTCCCGCCATACGTAAATTCTGTTGTGATTCAAGATGTGAACAAATTTTAACTATTGCACAGCCTTACAAATAAGGTAAATGAAAAAGCAGTGCTAATTTGCATGAGGAAGGGTTTAGGCCCAGCTCATCAACCATGAGCTTGACATGCTTATGGGTATAAATAGGGACGGTAGCATACCTTGTGGGCTCTTCGATAAGGTTCCAAACCTTCCGCCGGAACTCGCCGAAACGCAGTTGTTTGAATTGGTTTGGTGATTCTTCGGAGGAGAACGATGAGATTGTGTCGAGATCATTCTAAAATCGAGGAATTATCCCTTCGTGAAAGGCGATACCAGCAAAGAAGAAAAATGGAAATGTTGAAAAAAGGGTAAACGGAAGGGTTGCACCAGGAGATGACAGGTTGCATTCTGTACAATGAGCTCTTTCCAGAAAAATGTAGAAAGCTAACCTTTTTTAGCGAGTTTTTCTTATCCTTTTTCCTTATGAGATCACACTCGGATTAACTCTATTCACATCGACGCCTTTTATGCCCCTCTGACGTTGTGCCCCGGAGTCAAGAACACTGCCGTGACATACTTGCCCTAATACACACATGGTGATTCAGAAACCACGTCTGTTTTGACGTGAGCTTTCAAAACTTTGCTCAGACCTCAGCATTATTTACAGAGATTTACGGCGGAAAAGCTGAAATGGAGCTTTCACCCCTGGATGGCTTTCATTATCGAGTCTGACATGATCACCTTATCTTCAGCACAGCAGCAGGGAGCGAGGTAGCTATCAGGCATGATGCCCCAGTAGTCCAGTTCATCCAGTATATCAATCGGACATAGGTGCGACGGCTGATGTATTTGTCCTGGAAATAGCGAGAAGTGAATAAAAATTAATTTCTTTGGCCCAACCAGAATGCTAACGTATGGGCAGTACCGCTTAAGTAGAACTGGTAGACAATGTGGAACAAAGCGGGCGGTCGCTCGAAGTAGTACTCATTCGTAGAAGAGAAGTACGCGTCGGCAAGACTCAGTCGTTCTGACGTGCTGTTCAATTCCAGCAACCAAACGAGGCGTCCGGAAACATCAAATATCATTTCAATCCCATAATAATATTTGATAATATCTTCACTGCACGTTTCTTTTTCAAAACTTCTGAACTTTATTTCTTTGTTGTCACTTGCTTTTCCTTACACTCCGCCTTAAAGCAAACACCCTGATACCAAACTGGTGTTCTAGTGTAGCGCTTCGTGATGATAGCTTAGCTGCAGAATGACCTGAAAGTGGGAAAAGCAAGAGAAGTCATTGAGAACGCTGAAACTAAGGCCTTAACCTTCATTGGCGGCCGGATGGTACCCCAGGCGGTCAAAGAAGACAAAAATGCGTCTCTTCGAGCCCGTCGTTCGAGAAAGCACGCTGATCTCACCATCTCTCGCGGTGGGTGGGAAGCGTTGGAATCGGGGTCGATGGTTGCAGGCCCGTAAGGATTAGCGCCCTAACGCGCAATTTCAAACGAAGCTGGAGTGATCTAGGTAGTACGGACCTTACAATTTCCCTCGTGGTATCCCTCCTACTAGCCGGGCTAATCCCAGGGTTTGACTTTAAGTTTTTTGTCTGCATGTAAGACTACAAGTGGCTGAGAATACTAGTGCTCACAGATTCATTGGATTTCACTTCTTATGGGAAGTGGCTGAAGCGTTTCAAGGCGTTTTGAGTGCCTGATGATGAGATCACGTCATTTTCACGGATGCGATCTCCCGGATGCAATCTCCCTGGTTGGGAAACTTCTAATGAAGGGGTCACCTTTGTGGTCATTGTAAGAGCTAGCTATGTTTGGTCTGGTCTGCATTGAATTCTAGGAGGAAGTGAGAGCAAATTTATGGAGGACGGGAGAATTTCTGATGAAATTCAGACAGTTTCCGGGAATCCCGGAAAATTGCGCATTTTTTTCCGATTCAAATATTATTTGGTACCTTGCCCCTTCAACAAAGATAGGTTTCAATTTTGGGTAGAGGTAGTGTTACGAAGGACAACCATAGGGTCGTGTAGGGGTCATATGAGCGCAGAATTCCTCTGCTCCCAGTTTTTTCCAAAGATTGACCCAGATTGAACAGCATCGAGATCCACCTTCAGGCAACCCCTCTGCGATAAGAGAGCTCTCTGAAAAAGAAAAGCAAAAGAAGAGTTGGCTCTGGGGAACTAAGTAACTAACCAGTTCTCAAAAGAAAGGACAAAAAGGGATAGAGCATTCGGCGTTGATGAATCCCTTTTTGGGGTCCGTCAAGCATTCTATTAGTATCAACCAGAATCGTAGTGACATTGTGTGTGTAACCTGGCATGTACGATAACTTGCTGGGGTTAGCCCATGTACAGAGTCATCGTTGTTGTTCCCCCCCCCCCCCCACAAGTCTAGTACCAATTAGAGGCAGACTTATGTGAAAGGCAGGCCACTTAACATCAATTTAGAGGTGGTCAGTGGTTTAGGAATGAAGCGAAAACCAAGAAAACGGCCTAAAACTCGAGAAATAAAATCCCTTTTTGCTCAAAAATTTGCGCGTTAAGTGTGCCTCGTTGGTGCTGACCTCATTAACGCTAACGCCTCACTGCTAGCGCGGCTAAATTCAGGGAATGAGAGGTGGGCAGGCAGGGGTGCGAACTACGCCCCTCCCTGGCCTGGCCTAGCTAGAGGGCATATCCTCCGCTGCATAACCACTATCGTCACGCACCCTTGAAGGACCCGCTTGCACTCCCACTAGGTATAGTTTCCTCCTTCGACCCCATCATGGAGCTTGAGCTTCGAGCGACCAGGGAGGGATGGAAGGTCTGGTTACTTTGGACCAGGGAATCAGCCCCTAGATCTTACTTTGGAAGTAAGATCTAGGGGCTGATATACACCACTTTTTCACCACCACTTTTACATATACGCCACTTCCGCTCTTGTTAGAAATGTTTCCCGAGATGAACGGGACACACACACACTCATTTCCAAGCTGCGATTCAGAAATTAGATTACTCACCGACTTTTCGCTCGAGTATCGTTTCTTTCTTGAGCATAAATCGATGTCCACCCACATTTAGCCGTAGGAACTCTACTGATTTGGCGCTGTCCACGGCTATCCCCTGAAAATGAAGTTAATGAGCTATTTAGAAGGTCTTCATTTCCCTCATCTTGGGCTGGAGAAATCGATGTCCTGAAATCAATGAATTACAAATTCTCTATATTTAAGCTTTAAGCCACGGACGGGTTTCCGAGGTGAAACCAATGCTCAGACAGTAAAGGCGAAAAGGTGCAGTAGCCCGGTATATGGTGGACAAACTGGCCAAAATGAGAGGTACGGTGAACCGTGAAAGAGAGGAGGTTTTTCGCAGTTATTGTAGACCGGGACAAAAGGCATGCGCGACACGGCCTTGAGGAAGTGAACGAGACGGTACTTTTGGAGCACAAAAAAGCTGTTGTAGCCTGTCCCATCGTCCAAAAACATGAATGGTACATGAAAGTGAAGAAAGTAAAAAGTCAAATGGTATAAACAAAAAAGGAGTAAAGGAAGACGACCAAAAATCTTACTCGTGGAGTGGCTGCGACTTCTGAAGGGTGCGAACAGTTCTGCAACAATGGCGGCTCCTCCTCAGCCACATTTGGCTCAGCGCGAGAATTCCTGAAAGCAGGGAGGTTTTTCAGGCTGTGATCTCCTTGAAAATCCCCCTTTGAAAACCTTTCACCCTCTATGACCTTCGCCATTTTCATACTGAAGATTAATGGCCCATTTCAAATTTCGGGGGAATTCAGTGACGTGGAGCCTATCGGAATGACAGCTCAATGATATAATAAAAATCCGCTCCTGAGAAGTAATCGTTCTGAGAGAAATAAATTACGAGGTTTTCTCGTAACCGATTACTCCCGTTTACGACTGCAGTGAACAACCACCGCACACATAACAACGACGAATTCAGTAACTCATATTGGAAGAGTTTTATAATTTAGTGATTGCCCGGACTCTCGGCTAAAATTAGCCGAAAGGCCAAGGCACGCCCCGGAACGGTCAATCTCGACACTCCGACCTTTTACGAATCTGATAGCCGATGCGGTCGTGCGCGGCGATATGAAATCCACGACCGAAGCGATGTCGATTCAGCCGCGTGATGCCGTGCGACGTGGCCATTATAGAGCCCTGTAGCACCGCGGTATTCATGGTGATTGATCCGCGACACAATTAAAGCCGTTGATCAATAAATCAATTGTCGGTCACATGTAGATGATGAAGTCGGCGGTGATGGGCATTGCTGTTCCTCTCATCATACGGTCAGGCAAGGGCTTCTGCTGAAATATACTCGTCAAGGTTTGCGATTAGCGTGTACTATTACTCTCTTCGGATAATGCTATAGAATTCAGGAGGCCCGTTTAGTCATCTTGCTACTGAATCTCCGAGGACATTTTTGAGAAATTAGGCGAGGAGGTGAGCCTATAGGAGGAAATTCGTGAGGCTACAAGAAAATTAGTCCAGTCTGAAGGCTGTACTTAGAGATGACAATGTAATTACGAACTAAAAATAACTAATTATGATACTGTAATTAGAGATGTGTAGATAACCAATAACGAGCAGTTTGTGTGTAATGAGCACAAAGATCTGAGGTGACCGGTCACTTTAAGTCCACTCCACAAATTGCAATAGAGACGAGGAGAGTGTACCTTCTACATTCATTGAGTGGAGTCTTAATGAAAAATAAAGTCAATGAATTAATTAAAATCTCTCGTAGTTTCAGCTTGTATTCACGAAATGTAGCCCATAACCCGCGGCAGGTAGACATCTCAGCGCCACCAACGCACTTCAAGAAACAGCCTTTTCGAATCTATGGAGAATTAA